AATTACACAAAAATCGAACATGTGTTGTAGTGTGCTGCCAGTAGTAGCTTCTGTGCATGAAGTTATTCCGACACACACACACAATAAGCTGCATGTTTCGCCACCAAACGATACAGGTCCACCATGATGATACAGACGTTGCAATTTCCAACATGAAACACATTTTTCTGACACGTAAATCAACGTGTGTTTGGAATCTCAAGTACTTAACCGACTTTGGCATTCTGGTTGCAGAAATTTGTGCTGAACTTTGAAACAATATTCTGACGCTCAGAAAGCTCTAACGAAACTGTTATCTTACGACAGTATGCCTTATAAGTAGAAAATAATATTCCGGCACATTTATCCCCATCTAATTCAATGCAGCCCACACGCTCACTGTGTAATTTATCAAATGATAACATCGCTTTTCGATTAAAATGCTGTATGCATTTCACAACCTAACTTTGTATCAAACTCATCTGATATTACTTTATTTTATAGCCTTGATAATATTTGTTAACATTATAAACATTTCAATTGTAAAATATTCCCAAGTTTTAAATATTCCTATTCGTTTCGAATATTCTCCATAACACCCTGTTCTCAAACATTCTCACCGCCGTAGAATTTGAAGTTTTCTCGGAGGTGAGTCTGAAGATTTCTGTCTTCTGGGTTGTTGCGCCGTGTAGTCTGATAGAAGTTTACCGACATCTAATAGGTCCTTGCTGCCTCCATCATCAGGACCTCTGAGACGTCGGTGGTCTTCTACCAGACTACACGGCGCAACAACCCAGAAGACAGCCATCTTCAGATTCACCGCCCTTAACAAAGTTTACCACCTATACAAAAAAAGGGTAAAATTGTAGCGCAGAGGTGGTGGTACGTCACAGTTGGCACTCACCACTCGCAATCAGCGCTTAAAATAAATGAGGCATGTCTCAGCCCCAGGTGGGACGGAACAAAGATATGGTCAGAGCTGTCCTTGATTAAGCCTTCTGGTATTACTGTCAAGGCTGCGTATTAAGAATCAGTCGGTTCCTCTGGATGCACCCGATTAGATAAAACGGTATCCGTTTCACTTGAAAACAGGACTTGTTTCTTTAATCACGTGATTTCTTTTCAGAAAAACTACGTCTTAATTCGTAATAAACCTTCATTTCAAATACTGTTCACACATTCTTAAACATATCTGA